TGTACGTTTAATGTACACTTAGGAGTACCAGGCTCTTAAAAAAAGTAAAATTTAAGGTACACCTACAGAATATCTTTTTTTTCTTCTTTACGCGCCCAGAAATTCGAGAAAATTTTTGAACATGCAAATAGTACAGAAAAATTAACTTTTTTTTGGCTTTACCGGAAAAATAGCTCAAAAGTAGAAGAAAATTTGATTCATTCGAAAAAGAGTGAACTCTTTCGCTTATAACTTTTTTTTGTTCAAATTATAGAAATTCTGTAAAAAGGCTCTAAAAGTGCTTTAAATAAGCTTTTGTTTAATCACCAATTAAGTGAAAAATGTCTACTCTATTAAAAAAAACAGGTATTTAAAGTTTAGGCTTCAGATTACAAAAAAGCAATTATCTGGTCGATTTCTGCAACAATTACTTTTTACTACCGTATCCTTTGACTAGATTACCATTTTTGACTTTATCAGTGCACAAATAAAAAAATTTTTAATAAGCTTGAATGAAAATTCTAGTTTGCTCAAAAATATTCGTTGGGTAAGAAGTTGTAGTTGATTAAAGTTTTAGTTAAAAAAAAAAAAAAAAAGAAACATTCACCTTGATGATTAACAAATCAATAGAAAACTATCCGTAACCTTAAACCTGACCCTTATTTCTGACTTTGTCAGAGCTTATTTTAATTTGCTGAAAATAAGCTTTAACTTGAGCTCTGTTGGAGTAAAAAACAATGATCTTATGAAAATTTATGGCTTATGTTATCTGACACATTATATCGTTAAATCGCGCTTTTAAAAACTTTCCTCAATTTACTCAAACTTACCTTGAATTCAAATGCTATAGTGTAAGGGGTTAAATCTGCCCTTGAAGGAATCGATAATTTGACTTGACAGTACAAAAAGTCATGCAAAACGACGCTCCCAACCAAATTTTTAGATCTCTGTCACCCAGATATGCCCCTCAAAACCATAAAGTTTTAATTTCATTTTTTTTAGGCGCATTATTGACTAAAAAATCTCTTTAATTCACAGAGGTGTATATTTTTACTGCAAATAAACATAATTTTTTTTAAATGTTCCGTGTTAAACTTGGCTTACAAAAAATCTTGTAATATTTTAATCTGTTTTGAAGTTAGGCTCCTAATAAACGGATAATTTTTAACATCATATTTTTTTATTTTTTATGTATTTTTCTCGTTCTTTTGAATAGCCATGAAAAATTCAAGATAAAATTGGTGGAACGTTGCCAAAAATTAAAATCTTTTTTTCTTTTTCTAAGACCCTATTATATTTTTAGTGAAATGTGTTTATTTACTACGGAAACAAGTACGTTAAAAACATGTGTCGTGGTTGTGAAAGTATTTTTAAAAAATTTTTTGGTGGCTCAAATCCAAGAACTAAAATAAAAAAATCTCCTTATTTTGGATATTTTGGAATTTATTAATCATCAAAGATAAAAATGTAAACATAAGAGTGAGAGAGTTAATTTTTTGCTTGAAGCCCTCCCATGCGATATTGTGACGGCGAATGTCGCTATTCGAGGTGTTAACCCACCAGTGGCTCCCTGTTGGTGAGTAAAGTTGGAACTGTAACCAATCATTTTTTTTCGAATAAAGTATAACGAGCTGTTTCACTATATCAACTATTACACCGCAAAAAATATGATTGGCTTTTTACAACTCCTTTATTATCTTCATATTATCCCCCTTCACCTGCATAATCCAAAATATTTATAGAAAAAATATTTTTTCACTTTGCACCAAAAAGTTTAAGCTTGAATTTTATGAAATGATAGACTTTAAACTACTTACACTAGAAAAAAATGATGATGAAATTTTCATGGAAAACCTTAGTGTAGCTCCTTTCCAGGAGTTGATGTCCAGGTCCTCAGAATACTCTCGAGAACGATCATGATTACCTCTACTAAACTTCTGGGATTAATAAAATCGTACAGAAACTTACGCTTCTCGGAATTTTTTCAGAGAGATCTTCAGAGGTTAAACGGAAGCTCATAACTCATGAAAACTGAATGACTGCTCCAAGAAAATACCGTTCCTTCTATGCTCTCAGATTTCCTGCAGGTAACAACTGATGTGAGACTTACTTGAGAACTCCGGAGGATGCAATCGTATTAAGGTCGCCATGGTGGTATCATGAAACTTTTGAAAATTATTTTTGGACCGATTTTTGTTAACTATACATATGCAGATGCCAAAAATCAGGCGAAAAAACCTTTTTAAAAGTTACATGATACTACCTCCGGAAACACTTTTAAAGATAGGGATTCATTTAAATTTTATGTATGTAAAATTCAATCTACTGCTTTTGCCGGGCTACTGTATTAAAAAGCTTGGGATTTAGATTACGTAGTTTTTCATATAATAATTTATTAAATCATTACATTATTAACTTACTATCCCCCAGGTTACTGGGTTAAAGTACTTGGGGTTTAGGTATTCTTGCGTGTTATTTCCATCATTTTTGAGAGCGCTGATTCACAGCAGAGATGATACTACACTCAGCAAAAATGTAGTCCACCTGGCTACACCTATAGTTAGTGTACGATGCGTGTCATGAAGCGTTGTATCATGACTGTATGTATAGGAATGCATAATTCATGGTGTTTAGACTTTTCGAGTGCAGCAGAAAACCTATTACGAGACCGTCTCGGTTATACGGGCATCAAAATGTGAAGGGCTCGTAATTTAAATCAGCTACATGGGCAAAAATGCAAAAAACTGGCTCTGCGAAACCCAATACGTTACTAAATTATTAAAATAATAAATCTTAAACTACGTGAGCCCGCTCACTTCTTAGTTGATAAATAAGTGAATTAATAACTATGTGATCCAGTGTTCTACTTGATTATTAAATAAATAACTAATAACCTCGTAACCTAGCACACTTCTTACTCAATAAATAAATAAGTCTTAAGCCCCATGACCAAGCGCTCTTCTTAGTCCATGAATAAATTAATAATCACGTGACCCAGCGCGCTTCTTAGTCAATGAATAAATAAATTAAAGCACCTGTGAGCCTTTTATTTATTGCTTAAACAATTTTATTTGCGCGTCGCTCATTTACAGCTCGTTTTGTTTATTTTTAAATGTGTAAACGATTTATTAAAAAGTTAACAAGTTTTTTAATAACTGAGTGTCAGATTTACAGAGCTATAACTCTCTAGTGAGAAGAGAAAAGTTCCGAAGCTAATTAGAAACGATCAGCAGTAAAGGAGTATGGACGGGCCAGCGGTTCTTGTCATCGTTGACATCTCGAAGCATATATGTATGTACTGGTTGCCCTAGTTCATTAGTACTTTTTTTACTGATGAAATAAGCAACATTGTTGACATTGTTGACAGCCTTTTGCAATTTCTTACGAAGTGAGTACTTGTGTGTACTTTCAGCATTAACTTTACTGTCAGTGCATATTGCCAGACTAATAAAAATCAAATGATCAAGGTTAGGATCATTTTTAACCATTTTTGGCTAATGTTGATTTTCGTTCTACATTTCTGTTTTGATTACTTAACTAAAGAATTGACTTATTTTATGTTCAACAGGTCATTTTGACATTGTTGTTGCTAGAAAAATAAAGAACTTTCATGAAAGAGCATCAATTGATCTCAATGTCATCAAGACTTTTATCCAAACATCAGAAAAAGCTCTAATTATATGCATCCAAAGTTTTAAATCCAAAAAAATTGAACTTTACTTATTTCATTATAAAAATTATTTTAAGACTGTTAAAAAATGTACTGCCAGTAAAGAATGAGTTCTGATTAACAATTCTCACCACAGGGAGTTTTCAATTATTTTTCAACGGAAGGCATCTTTGTGAATGCTCCGTCCTCAGGAATTCTAGTGGGAAGAGTAGAACAATTACACAAATTAATCATAACATGTTACATTTTGTAATTTTGTTTTATTTGTATCTACAGGCAGATGCCTTCTTATCAAATATAAACTTCAAGCTGTTTTAGTTGTAGTAACAAGAGATTTCACCGAGCTTTGCCTTCATTGTTAAAAAGTTCTAATACTATTGCGGTACCAGATGTTACCTATTTAACAAAGTTAATTTGACCTACAGCTGATGGAGATATCTTTATAGCTTCCTCATAACTAGCTGTAAGCGTTTTAATATCGGATACATAAAAACAATAATTCGAAATCATTTTCAACATCTCTCCTTGAATATTAATTGTATTTAAATTAATAAAATAATTTTTTTGAGGGAGTTACAAGTCATCTTTCGTGCCATAATTAGTAAAATCTACAACTTTTTAGTGCTTGCTGAAACAAGACGAGACCAAGATTTTGGCCTAGTCTTGTATTGGTCTTGAAAAATAGTGAAAGTCTAAGTCTCATCTTGGTCTTGTCTTAAAATTCTTAGTCTTGATCCAAAATGAAAATGAAAATAGTATTTTTTATATAGTGTAATAGATAGTATATTTTATTTTTAAAATACACGGACCGTGTTACAATAATATTAATAACATTAAATAGAAATAATTTTTTACATAATATTTAAAAAATCAATGTCAAATGTAACATTCCTTAAACTGTATTTGGCCCAAAAGTGCAAACAAACCAAGGCTTGAAATGTATCATCGTTTAATAAATTTCTTTTTTCTGACAAAACTAAAGCACATTAAGAAAAGAAGACGCTCTACCAATACAGAGGTTGCTTGAATACTAAAAATGTCTCTAGCCATTTTCGACAATGTAGGATATATACCAGCATGAATTTTCTACCACTCCAAAATGATGACATCTTTGGCAGCTTTTTTAGTTGAAAAATACTCGTTTATTTCTTTCCTCCAGGTTTCTGTTGGATCATCGTCTTCTTTATTATCGCAATAAAAAGATTGTAAATTCGACTCCAAACTATTTCAATCCTTTTCAATCTTCTTTGTGTCGTTGGTCTTCACATATTTATCTTGATCCATGTAATAGAACTCTTTGTATACCTCTTAAAATTTACGAAGTGATTTTTTTAAATCTCTTTCCCCCAAGATGTCCAGTCAAAACGATGAAGTTTATGACGTGGGTCTAAAATGAGCGCAACATAATAAATATAATTACGCTTATTATGATGTTTCAGTAATTTCTCTTTTCCATCAATAAATGCGTTTATCAATATTTCACCAGTTTAACTATTTATTGCAAAATTCAATTTATTTAAAAGTAAATTAAATTCTACAATAACAGATGTAGGGGGTTATCCCCACTCTTATACTAGTCGAGTGGTGTAACCGCTTACTGATGACTTCAGTCCTTGATAAGCTCGAGTCCGAGCCACACTTGTAATCACCATTAATAAAGCGCACACACATACACATAGAAGTCTCTTTGCTCATTCGAGCACCTTCTCCTACGACGCGACGTGTATATATAGGGCTTAGGTCCCTACACAGATGGTAAATCAGCGCCATCTGTCGACAATACTTTGGATACAACGGTGAGTGACCTTAAAAAATCTATAACTAACTTCACAGAGTCCTAGAAAGGCTCTGTAGTTTTTAATTTTTCTAAAATAGGATAATTATCCCAAAGTTTTGATAGAAGCAAATCTCATTTCATGTGCAACATTAAGCACATTAAATGTACTATTCCAGCGAGTCCGACAATCTAAAACTGGCTTTATATACTTTGTTTCTGGAACGGTTAGCTTGCTCGATATTTTCAAAGTATTCCACAGTTGCTGTGATGCCCTAATTTTCTTGCTCGTAGATCTAATATTTTTAATGAAATCAATAACACCTATCTGCTCGTCTTCGTCTTCGTCGCCTTTCTCCTCCTCGTCCACCTTCTCCCCCTCCTCCTTTCCCTTTGTTTTCTCATCATTTCAAACAATGTTTGGTTGAACTTTTATACTCTTCAAAATATTTTGCAAGCCAAGATTTAAGATGTGCGAAAAACACCGAAAATGCTGATTATTTACTTGAATGTAGTGTCTATTCGCACCAAAACGCACCGTATATCCACGTAATTACGTTGATATAGTGGATACGCATGCGCAGTGGGCAACTCTACTGTTCGGTACTTATAGGGTCCAAGTTTATTTTTTTCTTCGAGAGAGCGAGGCGCATGCGTGTACGTGGATATAAGGTGCGAATAGACACAGCGTTACTTTAAATTTAATATTTCTTCCTTTTAACAATACTGACAACTCCTTTACTAATTTTATATTTGAAAATACGTGGTCGAGTGTAATTCCTTTAATCTTTTGCAGCAAATTGAAATTATGTAAAGAATCATAAAATGCTTTTGCATCATGTTTGTCAGCGTGTTTTCTATCAGATGAAACAAAATGTATAGCTAATGAATAGTGAACGTAATTCTCATCGATAAAATGGGCCGTTATTCCGTAGTAAGACATTCCACTTTTGGCTGTTCAACCATCTACTTCAAAAGAAACTTCAGATTCATTTTTTTCAAAAATGTTTTTCAAACTTCCTTGTGCTTTGCCAAATTCAGTCATAATTTGTTCTTTTAAAGCTTTGCTTTTTGGAACTGTCACGTCAGAGTTCAGCTTATGAAAAATGACTTGCGTAAATGGATCATCAAAAAAATTCATGGATAGTTTTTTATAAGCTACCTGGATTGAAATGATTCTCTTCCAGTCTACTTTTTTAAGTTGTTTCTGAAAAAAATTAGGTACATGTGTTTCAAATATGTTAAGTATTAATAAAATAAACAAATTAACCAATTTTAAAGTTAATGTAATAAAATTATTTCTGTAACAATGTTTGACGTAAAACATACGTACTGGTTCCGAAACTATAACAAATACTTCTATTCAGCCAGTGCTTCTTTTCTAACTAGGAAATAAGTGCCCGTATAGTCGAGCTCACTTAGCACTTTGTACTCATATTTATATTCTAATTTATAAGTATATATGTGTCAAGTTATACGAGGAATGATTTTCCTGTCTATCATTTTAGTAAACATTGATAAATAATTGAAGAAATCATTTTATTACATCCAATATTTACTTAAAAATTGGATCACTTACTTTTTCCACATCATGAAGTGTTGTTTGGAGTTTCGAAGTTTTTATGTTAGCTGCCTATTTTTGAAAAAATCCATTGTGAATTTCTTCGTAATGTTTTTCGAGGTGTTTTGTAATCCAGTAGTGTTTTCATCCTTCATTTTTATTTCAGTATTTACTTTTTTGGTAGATCTAAACAAATGCCGTTTCCCTTTTCTCCCTTTATAATGTAATCAAAAAAGTTTTTCCAATTTATTTTTGGTTTTTCATTCTCTTCTTCAGCTTTAAAAACTACTAGTACTAGTAGAAAATCCGTTAAATACATCGATTACGCATGGCCTTAAGCTGGCGCCCCCCTCCACCCCCCAATCAAGATATTCAAGACATCAAGACAAGACTGACTTGTCTTGTTCTCAAAAACTGAAGAATTCCAGTCTTGTCTTCTTCTTGTCTTGATTTCAAGACAAGACCAAAAAAAGTCTTAAGTCTCGGCAAGCACTACAATTTTTATACTTTAGGAAAATATTTTTAAAGTTGCTTCTACATAAAAGTTTTTGTTGACAATCTTTTACATTTTGACACACGAATTTTTTTTTGTTTTTAAATCAAAAAGTTCCACTTTATTGTCAAAAGGATAGCAATATAAGTAGAACTGCTTTAGTGTAGATGCTACTTCGATATTTTATACGAATCTCAACGTTAAATCAGCACTGAATCAACGTTAAATCCAGGAATAAAAGAACTCTGAAATAAGTCGTAAATCACATCGTTGATTCAGCGTTGATTCAGCGCTGATTCAACGTTAAGGTTTGTGATAGGGATATACTGTTCTTAGATATTGTGATATTTTTATATTAATTATGAGCTTAGTTTTTGTCCTTAGTTCTTTCAAATAAAAAATTGCTTGATAACGTTAAAATACTTTGTTTTAGGATGCTACTGTTATCATTATTATGTGGATTAATATAAATACCTTTCAAGAATTTGAGAAATTAGAAAAAGGTTGTCATATCGACAAGAAAAAAACTTATACATCAGAGTTTCATGTCAGGAAAATAAAGTTTTAAGGTATAATCTTTAGTATGATTAAATTATATCTTTTAAAGTTACCACTTTCACAGTAGGTTTCAAATAATCAACTATCTTGCTTTCCTGGGGTCTTTTACAATCATCAGAAATTTCTTAAACAGCAAACGCATCAAACGCTGATAAGTGTTGTAAAAGTGGCTTCAGTTTTAAAAAATCATTAGCTGGTCAAATAAAAATTATTATTACACGTTTCGAGGCTGATACAGTTTACGAGCAACTTGAATTAAAAGTTAAAGTTGGTCCAAAGTTGTGCAATAAATGCAAAAGACTGGTATTTTTGGTACATTAAAAAAATCTAAATCAACTTTAAATCAAGTTAAAACTGAGAGTTCAAGTTCCCAAACGCATTCTTTGACAGCTACTTCAACAGAGTATTTACAAAATTTGAGTGAGAATCCGATTAAATATGTACCTAAAAATATTTGCAATGATCCAGTGATAGAGTTACCTTGAAAAAGATCGGTTGCCAGTCATGGTTACTATTGTTCGTGTAATGACACTAAAGGTTTAATTCTCATACTACTACAAGCTAGATGACAGTATTTTAAAAGAATGCAAACATTTTCTAATGGAAATCGTACTTGTTACAAGCATTTGTTGTATAAGACATTTTATGAAGATGATTTAAATTTGATATAAGTCTACAGCAATTCCAGTTAGTTAACTGCCAAATAAATGTCTTTTTTTTTTTTTAACAAAAACATCAGATTTGTCATCTCAAACACTTTTGGATCAAGTGACATCTTTTGAGTTAAGCAATCAGCATATAAAATAATTTACAGGACTTACTTATGATAATTTAGAGAAATTATGTGATATGTTAAATTTTATAAGCAATTCAGGAAAAAGAAACATAATGCAAGCTTTGGTAATTTTTTCATTCAAGCTACGTCCTCATGCATCTAATAACATGATTTCTAGTATTTTCTAAATTAAACAAGAACAGTTGAAAATTCAAGTATAATGAAAAAGGTGATGTTAAATCCTAATTGAACAAAAAGAATAATGAAATGTAGACATATCTGTCTCGTAGACCGAGCTTTTAAAGACGTAGTTTTATATTGAGAAGAGCTTGGCTCAAGAGTTTTAATGCCTGCAGTAAAAGGCAAGAAAACCCATTTAACTACTAAAGAAGCTAACGAATTTCGTTACACAACATAGTTAAGGTGGGTTGTTGCAGCTACTCATGGAATCTTAGGAAAAAAAAAACTTTTTTATAACTAATTGGATAACCAACTCGTTTCTAAAGCTGGCTCTTACTGCAAAATAGCGTGTTTTCTTAATAATCAGTATGGAAAAAGATTAAACAGTGGTGGATGTGGTCATAGACAGAATGTTGTCTCTTATCAATGCTGAAAAATAGTTAGCAATAGAAGCAGAAAACTTAAGATGATCAAGAAGAAGCAGTTTAGCTGTAAAATTACTATCCAAAAAGCTATCAGACTTTCCTGAGACAACTGAGAAAGATTAGAAAGTATTTTTTTCAGGTCCTTATCAACTAGGTCAAGCTGTTTCTTATTTAGCAAAAATGAATCTAATAATCTTTATTGAGAGTATATAAAAATGCAGCCAAATATAATTGAGGTGTTAGTAAAATAACAGACATATCAATAGAAAAATCTACACGTGTTATATCGAATATAATCTGATACTATGGGTTACAATGGTATCTCACGCCATGCATGTGATTGTGCAAATAGCTTAAGAACTATAGAGTGCTGCTACCACCTTGCTGCTGTTATATACTATCTGTCAAATGCAAGATATAAGTCTAAAATTATTCGGCCAGTAAAGGTACTGACTGAAATGTTTGCAAAAGAAGAAATTGAACCAGTAATTAATGAAGACAGCTATGAAGACTAAAACACATAACAGTAAACATCAAATATTACTTATGTATCTGCTAAATTTTATAACGATAAACGAAGACTAATAGTTATTTTTATTTACTACTTTTAATTTTAATGATTTATAAATACCAAAATATCCAAAAAAATAAAATTTTTCTATTTCAGTTCTTGGATTTGAGATACCAGAAAATTTTTTTTTAAGGTTTTTACAACCACAACATATGTTTTGAAATTTTTTTTTGCAGAATTCGATAAAAAAATTTGTTTTTACCAAAAGTGTAATGGGGTCTTAGAATAAGTGAAAAATTGTCAAAAAAACCGGCTTTTATAATTTTTAGCCAGGTTCCACCAATTTTATTCCAAATTTCTTACTACCATTTGAAAGGACGGAAAAAATACATCAATATTATGTTATTAAAAGTTAATCGTTTTTTAGAAACCTAACCTAAAAACGTATTGAAGTATTACAAAATTTATTTGAGTCCAGTTGAGCTCGGAAAATTTTGAAAAAAAATTATGCTTATTTGCAGTGGAAATACACACTTCTATGCATATTTTAGATTTTTTTAGTCACCAATGCGGTTTTAAGGTTAGGGGTGTATAGGAGTGACATACAGATCTAAAAATTTGGCTGAGGGTGTTTATTTATATGACTTTTTTACTGTCAAGTCATATTGTTAATTCTTTCAAGGGCAGATTTAACCCTTTACCCAGCTACAGTCTTTCATCAAAATTTTTAACACTAGTGGGTGATCAGTGATATTCTCTGTATGAATTATAATTTAGCAAAAATTATATTAATATATGTCCTGGATAACAAATGCATTTTAGTTAATTAAGGCCAATATTATGATAGTTATAAAAAACTTGATCTGCCGAAGCCTTATAATAGTACATTACAATACTAGTGCGTAGGAAAGACGATTGACACATGCGTGTCAGTTCGCATGCAAGCGCCAGTGAGTGTGGCTCATAATCGAGTCCCCATGCACAGTAAGTCGAAAACAGTTATTTATTATGGGGAAAAAAGCCAACAGACTTTTTGTGCTTACAAACATATTTTTTATTTACACTTTAGACTGAAAATTTCTTCATTTATCCTTTTCTTGTAACGAGTTAGTCCCTTAAAATAGTATATGATTATAGACAAGCTGTTAAATGATGACTTGCGTAAATAAATAAATTTTTTCTTTTTATTCTATTTCATTTCCCATCTCTTTCCAATTATAAAATTGTAAGACTCTTGAAAGAGTCATACTTAACAAAAGTTGTCACTTAACAAACTTGACTGTGTACTTCGTGGCCCTCGGAAGTGTCAAGTGACAACCGGAGCGAGCCACTAAGCTTAGACACATTGTCAGCTTAGTTTTCATTATACCGAGTTTTTTTTTTTATCAAGGATAACTCTAAACAAATATACATAAATCAGATCCACTAAAATTTTTTTATAATTGTTATCGTGTTTGGATAAGACTGTTGCATCTATTGTGGTCGACTGATACTTGTTGGTAATATTTATAAATTTCTAACTTTTTTTTAAATTTTTATTTTATTAAATTCGTATAACATGATCTAATAAGCGTTTTAGTTCTTATTATTAAAAAACAAAAAACCAAAAATAATTTATTATTAATTCAGTTTTTCTGTAAGAACTTAATAAGTCTATACGATTTCTTCCAACCATGATACATGCGAGCTAAAACATTGTTGTGATAATCTACCAGAGTTTGATAAGCGGTTGAATTTTATAATTTTTGATGTGGTAGACAATCTATACAACTGCTGGAACTCTTTAACCTCTATTTACACATAATTGTGTATTCATTTGAATGGCCGCAATTGAAATGCGGGACGTAAATTTAACAAAATTAAAGGCAAATAATGCTACTATGTAAAAATCGAACTCTTCACTTAGGCTTTTTAAGTTTATGGTACTTGGCCTAAAAATTGCGAAGAAGGTGATATCGTCCCAATACTATATACTTATAAAGAATAACATAAACTTCAGGATTTTTTGTTTATAGGTAACGGAACAACGTGAGATTTTACGCCGTGAAGCTAAAAAAAGATGTGATAGCAGACAACTGTCAAGAAATAGTAAAACTCAAACTTTGCGTGACTGCTCTATAACTCAGTTTGCTCAAATCGATGATGACAATGTTTCTGCACTGCAACAAGTAACACGAGGTGGAGGTGGTTTAACTTTAGCATCTCAATGGAAGTCACAGTTTGACGATTCCGAAGAAACAGATAATGAATGGAAAGTTGAAAACTTACAGAGTCCGGAACATAAGGGAAGCAATTTAGTATCTCTATTTGGACAGGTATTTTCATAGATTTGATATCATTTAAAGTGAAAAATATACTATACATATACCTATAAATGATTTAAAAGACTGTTCATATTATGATGATCCTTTTTAATTTTGTTAGAACTATATAAAAAAAATCACAACAAGGGTACACGAATAAATTTTCTGGAATTAGGTATGACTTGCTGTAGAATTTATACAAAACACTATATTAGATCCTTTGATGAATAACTTCCGGAACGTTTTGTTAAGAATTCAGAATATTAATGTTAAANTACTACTACTACTACTACTACTACTACTACTACTACTACTACTACTACTACTACTACTACTACTACTACTACTACTACTACTACTACTACTACTACTACTACTACTACTACTACTACTACTACTACTACTACTACTACTACTACTACTACTACTACTACTACTACTACTACTACTACTACTACTACTACTACTACTACTACTACTACTACTACTACTACTACTACTACTACTACTACTACTACTACTACTACTACTACTACTACTACTACTACTACTACTACTACTACTACTACTACTACTACTACTACTACTACTACTACTACTACTACTACTACTACTACTACTACTACTACTACTACTACTACTACTACTACTACTACTACTACTACTACTACTACTACTACTACTACTACTACTACTACTACTACTACTACTACTACTACTACTACTACTACTACTACTACTACTACTACTACTACTACTACTACTACTACTACTACTACTACTACTACTACTACTACTACTACTACTACTACTACTACTACTACTACTACTACTACTACTACTACTACTACTACTACTACTACTACTACTACTACTACTACTACTACTACTACTACTACTACTACTACTACTACTACTACTACTACTACTACTACTACTACTACTACTACTACTACTACTACTACTACTACTACTACTACTACTACTACTACTACTACTACTACTACTACTACTACTACTACTACTACTACTACTACTACTACTACTACTACTACTACTACTACTACTACTACTACTACTACTACTACTACTACTACTACTACTACTACTACTACTACTACTACTACTACTACTACTACTACTACTACTACTACTACTACTACTACTACTACTACTACTACTACTACTACTACTACTACTACTACTACTGCTGCTGCTGCTGCTGCTGCTGCTGCTGCTGCTATTACTACTACTACTACTATATTTATAGTTACTATACTATGTATACATTCTCACAGCAAATTGAAAAGTCGGTAGCCGAACAGGGTACTGTCAAAATTAGCAACAGAAAAGTGACATTAGAGGTCATTGTAGAGCAAGATGAGGTCAAAGAGGCTTTCGTTAGGACTTTTAAACATCAGAGCCAGGAGCCAGAAGTAGCTCTCTTAAAGCCAAATGCCAGGGGACAGAGGCTGGCGTTGATAAAGGTGGACGAAGCAACTGCCAGACAAGTAGAAAAGGAAGGCAGGTTACGAGTTTGTCTTGTAAGCTGCCAAATTCGAAGAAGAATTGAAGTAACAAGATGTTACAAATGCCTGGGATATGGACACGTCTTGGGCAATTGTCAAAACGAAAACAGATCCAAGCTGTGCTTCCGGTGTGGAAGCTCAAACCACCGGAAGAAAGAGTGTCCAGGCCCAGCAC